TCTAATTTCTCTGCCTCCGGTCTTGTCCCCTTCAAGTCCTCCACACAACTATTACCACCTAGACAACTACCTAACTTTCTTCACACCCCTTCCAAGCTCCTCCCACCCCATGATCAGGTGCCTGCCTGCCCCTACATCCTCGTGCTCTTCCCTGTCTGCAACTTCACACGCTGCTTCACAGAATGCTAGATCACTTGAATTTGGGAAAATGAGTGGTGGCAGAGCTGTGTGTGTGGAGGGGGGTGAGGGATAGTTAGATGGCAGGGAGTAATGCTTTAAGGCAGAATTTTAAAGACTCGATTGAAATAAATAAATGTTTCATGGAATTGAGAAATGTATTTAGGGCAACATAAAAATTCAGAGGACAGTTTTAAACACAAAGTAGAAATAGCATATTATTGTGGGAGGAGCTCAGAACTGGGAGTTAGAACTAGAATCTAGTCCTGATTTTACCCTTTCCTAGCTGTGGGTTTAGATAAGTCACTTAACCTCTCTGGGCATCAGTTTGCTCATCTGTAAAAATGAGGTGAGTGGATTCAACTTCCAAAGTTCCTTTCATTCTTAAAATTCATGATTCTAGGAAAAAAAAATCCTGAAACATGTTTCACATAGCTTCTAGTCTGCCACTCAAAAACATACAACAGAAACTGCCATGTTAGGACTTTTGAGTTGATTTTTCAGTGTTTCTCTCAATACCTGGACTTCAGGTCTCACCACAATCCCCAGCTCTTGCCCATTACCATCCTCCTCTGGATTTCTGGGGCTCCAGCAAGGTTGGTGTGGGACAATCCAGAGCCAGGGAGGAAGAGATGCATATATATTTCAGTTACCATCTCTTCTCAGACTTAACTTATTCTCATCAAAGCCCTAGTAACTGCATTTTGAAATGTTCTGAATGTCTGGTTGCTGAGGTCAAGTCACATTATAAGAGGTGGAAACAGAAAACAATGTGAGGGAATAGATTTGCAGTTCCACTAGCATGCATATCATTCATTAACACTTGCACAGAGTTGTGACCTTATGATTTCAGTTTCACAGAATTCAGTTCTCCAAAGGGTCTAATTAGCCTCCCAGGAAAACCAGCTCTAGAATTCAAGTACACTACCACCAGGTGACAGTGACAGGTCAAAGACACAGAGACCAATCAGTAAATGTGAGGCTTCTCTGAAGTTCAAACTGCACTCTGTTCAAGTAATGTGCTGCCACCTCCTTCAAATGTATCACCATGAATTCTCATATTGTTTAATATCATAAATAGATTTAAGTATTAAGATAATTAAATGTAAGCACCATATTTAGAAATTGCTTAGAGGTACTGGTTCTCAACTCTGGCTACACATTAGAATCACCTGGGAAACTTAAAAAATATATATATTCTAATGCTCAAACCTCCCTCCTAGAAACTCTCACTTAATTGATCAGGGTAGAAAACTTTTTCTGCCTTTTTTTTTTTTCCCCCAGAGGTGGGAGTGAGGGGTTTTTTGCTCTTGATCTTATCATGTCACTTTTTTCTACACCAAAATTAATGGAGGGACTTGGTAAAAATGCTGTGATTACTTCTCCATCTTTCTAGCTATTCATTCATCCATCTGTCCATCCATCTGTATGGGTATACATTGTCAAGAGCTGCAGAGAAGACCAAGATAAATATTTGATTCCTATTAGCAACTCCACTGGCTATAGACTTCTTTATAAACTGCTTTAGAAAATTTAAGGTGAGCTTTATAATAGAACAAGACATTCTGATCAGAAAAATAAGCTGCAAAAAAGTAATATATATTTTTAAATATAATAAAGATTTAAATATATTTAAATATTTATAATAAAAAATTAAATATATTTAAAAAATTTTAAATATAATAAAAAATATTCTGATTAAAAAAATTAATCTTTCTATTGAAGTGTGACAAACATATAGAAAAAAACACAAGTCATAAGTATATATCTGAATGAATTCACCAGGTAAACAACCATACACTTCCTCTTTCCTCTCCAAAGTTATCACTATCCTGACTCGTAACATTACAGAATAGTTTTGCCTATTTTTAAACTTTGTATAAATGGAATCGAACAGTTATGTATTCCTTTTGTCTGGCTTCCTTTGCTTAACATTGCGTTTGTGAGATTTATCCATGTTGCCGGGTACAGCAATAGTTTGTACCTTTTTATTGTTGTGTAGTATTCCATCGGATGAATAGGACAATTATATATTTAGGACTTGGATTTATAATAAGTAGGAGTGAAATCACATTGTCAGTCTTTTCAAATTATAGAAATTGGTGGGTATAGTGAAATCTCATTATAGTTTTAATTTGTGTTTCTGATAGCCAGTAAGATTGTGTTTGGGGGATCATTTTGGATACCTTTTTTGGTAAAGTGTCTGTTCAAATCTCTTGCCTATTTTTTTTCCCAATGGGCTTGCCTTATTTATGTTTTTAAAAAACAGGTATAAAAATACTACTCGTCATTTCAAATAATTGATTTGTGGTTTGGTTGATTTTGTCCATTGTTGATTTGTTCTCTATTTCATTGTTTTATGCTTTTATTTCATTACTTCCTTTCACTTTCTTTGAGTTTTACTTCCTAACTTCTTAAAATGGACACTTAACACATTGATTTTCAGCCAGTCTTCCTTTCTAACATATACATTTGAAACTATGCATTTTCCTCTAAGCATTGCTTAGTTGCATCCCAGAAGTTTGGATATGTCATATTTTCATTATCACTCATTCAGAATATTTTCTAATTTTCATGGTTATTATTTTTTTGACTCATAAGTTATTTAGAAGTAGACTACTTAATTTCCAAACATTTGGGGGTTTTACAGACATAATTTTGTAGTTGATTTCTGTCTCAATTCCATATACAAGATTTCAATTCTTTTAAATTTATCAAGATATGCATTAGAACTTGGCAACCTTGGTAAATGTTGCATGTGCATTTGAAAAGTTTAAGCATTCTATCATTTTGAGATACAGTTTCCTAAGTACATTAGTTAGTTCAAGCTTGTTGATCTTGTTCATCTGCTTTTTATATCTCAAAGGGCCAAATAGTAAATATTTTAGGCTTATAGGCCATAATGTCTCCATACCAACTACTCACCTTTGCCATTGTAGTGTGAAAGCCCCCAGAGACAATACGTAAATGAATGGGTAGGGCTGCGTTCTTATAAAACTCTAGTTACAAAACCCAGCGGCCAGTTTCTGGGCCATAGTTCACCAATGCCTGTTCTATCTAATTACTATATATATATAAATATGTTTTGGTCTGTTTATTCTTTTAGCTATAGAGAAATCTCCACAGAGATTGTGAGTTAGTCCAATTCTTCTTTCACTCTGAAAATTTTTCTTTGTATATTACAAAGTGATATTACTAGGTACATACAAATTTAGAACTTAAATTTGCTTTCCTGGTGAATGAGTCTTTTAGAAATATGAACTGTCCCTTTATCTCTAATAATGCTTCTTGCATTAAGGAATATCTTGTATAATATGATATATATACTACATCAACTTTCTTTTGGTTTACTATCCTTTTATTTACATTTATATATTCTTTTACTTAGGGTTGTACTCTATTAAGCAACACATACTTAGTTTCCTTTTTTTTTCTAAATCCCATTGACATTCTTAGTCTTTTTCTTGGCATATTTGAGTCTATTTATGTTTTATATATATATATATATATTTTTTTTTATTCCATTGGGTAAATATAAACATTGACTCCCCTTCTGAGACTCTTCACTCTCTGTTCCAAAGCTCTAGTGAGAGGTCCAGGTCAAAATTATTTTCTCAGTTTTTGCTCCTGAGACCGCCTCATTTTTTCCTCAGAAAGCCTATTTGTTCCAGTGAAGCTGAGTCTGGACCTATGGGCACAGAGACTTGGATACACAAACTTGTGCACATGCGGGGGCTAGTCTCTACCCTCAGCAGTACCTAGACTCATTGGTGCCAAGATTCTTGCCTATAAGAAGCCAGAGCCACAGAAGGGTGGGTGATAATGGGGACAGCAGCCAAGAGCTTACCTGTTTTTTCTTATTGATTTGTAGGAGTTCTTTATATATTCTGCTATGAACCCTTTATAGTTATATGTGCTGTCTTTTAGTCTATGGCTTGTCCTTTTGTTCTCTTACTGATACATTTTGATGAGTACAAATTCTAATTTTAATAAACCAATTTAATGATATTTTCTTTTAAAATTTACTTAAAACACTGAGAGAGGCAGAAGTGGTCTGAACCCTTGAGAAGCCTTGATCTTAGAAGAGAATGGGGCAGAAAGTCCCTGAACTGTCTGGCCTTATTAAGGAATGACCTTTCTGTTTAAATTTTCACACAGGTTTATGCAATATTTTACAAGAGTAACCTCTGGAAAAGAACAGATCTCTTGGAGACCATTCCCCCAACTGAATTTATTATATGTATGTTTAATACAAACAATATGAGATGAGTTCAAAAACAACTGATTTTGTTTTAAAGGATGGTAGTGCGAGAAGGAGGAAATAGTCATTAGTTGTTGCACAAAGGACAAAGCCATATGACACTATTTTCTACCTGTATACATTCTTAACTTGGAAGGAGAAACCTGGACTAGCAATAAGGACAAGAAAATAGGTTAAGGTCTTCCTCAGAAGAAAAATAAAACTTCCTTCAGGAGAGTGGTACTGACGCATAATACAAAAGTACCCAGTCACCAGGGCCTCTTGCTTGGACTACAGGCAGGCAGGGTCTGTGAGGTCTGTGAGGTCTGTGAGGACACAGACCCCTGAGAATAGACATGCCTCTGAGGCCAGGCACTGTTCCCCTCTGCACCAGTCCCTACTGCTTCCCTATTGCACAGATTACAGTCCTGCTGCCCAGCTGTGAGCAGGACTGGTCAGAAGGTGCTAAGACAATATGCCAAGTGGCTAATTTCCTTCTTGAGTGCTGACTTGGCAGAAGGGAGACTGGACTGAGCATGTGCAGACAAATGAATTGAGAAAGGCCACAAGACGTCCTGCTTACTGTAGCTGGAAGTGCGTGATCTTGGTAACCAGCAGTTTGTACTGGGCGCCCAGTGGAGCCATGGAGGTGACATCTACAATTACCAGTTGCTCCAGAGGTCCTGTTTCATTGGTTGCCTCTGAGGGACACAAGGTGCGGCTTACTTCCTGGTAGTTGTAACTCCTCTGGTATCTGTAGCAGTGGATGGAAAGAAAAACAAGCAAGAACAAAAGAGAGACTCGGTGAACAAGCAAGGGAAAAAAAAGCCAATCTTATTTCATTTCTCTCCAAATTTGTTTTCAAGTCCTTATGTTTTAAATTTCAGACTGGACCTATGATAGTGATTGAGTCTTGGGCATAGGCTTGTGTGATGTAATAACGGGGACTTGAGGACTCTTCAGTGCTGGCCAGTTCACTTTGATTTTGTCTATATTATGTTACACCATCTTCCTAATTCAATGAGGAAAAAAATACCAAATATTGAAGGGGAAATTGTGCTGATAAAACAACCAGTTGATTTCATATTTCCACTTTTTAAGCTTTTGCTAAATGGAACATAAAAAAAAAAAAAAAAAAAAAAAGCCCCAGAGCCCAAGTCAAGGCTATGAGAGTTACTATTTCAATCCTCAAATTACTCAGCCACTAAAAATGAGTTAAAGCCATACTATGTACCTATGTCTGAATGCCTTCTGGTTTTTTTCTTAGTAGTGCAATAGTACCTTATACAGTTTCTCCTGCAAAAGTATAAACTACATGAGGGCAGGGATTTTGTTTTCCTCTCCCCCCACTGCTGTATCCCTAGTTTCTAGCATTTATTTAGTAGCACTTAAATGCTATAGAATGAAGGATACACACTCTGCGGGCATTTTGAAGAATGGAGGTATTACTCATTTACACTGACTCTTGAACCTAGCCCTGTCCTCAGTGGATGATCCACTAACCAAGAGCTACAGAATATTCTGGATAGAATTAAAATGCTTAAAGTTCTTCCAGGTGCTACACATCTAGGTAGAGTGCTTATCTGAATTCAAAGAGTCAGGGTGCCAGGGTGGTTTAGCTGGTTGAGCATCTGATTCTTGATCTCAGCTCAGGTCTTGATTTCAGGGTTGTGAGTTCAAGCTCCACATTTGGCTCCATGCCCAGTGTACTTAAAAGACAAAAACAGAGGATGGAAACTGAACAGACTTGGACAGGTTGGGCTATGTGCTATGACCATTATTTGCACTTAGGATACATATGATGTCAACATTCCAAAAGTCTGATTTCTCCTTTTACTAGGGAAAACACCAATTAAGGTCTAGGTCATTGAAAGAAAACAAATGTAGCGAAGTTGTCCAGGAGAAGATCCACTTACAGTCCTTGGAAGAGCAGAGGAACCTGCCAGGACAGCACCCCTTTCTGCTGGCGAACCACGACGAGGACTGGGTAGTCGAGGTTCTCTGAGGAACTATTCACATACACCCGAACAGCATTCACCTGTGAGCCAGGGCAGAGAGAGAAGGTAAGGCAAATCACACATGCACCTACATGCACACACACACACACACATCATAGCTGCCACCGGACGTGATCTTCAGTGAAACAAGATTCTGGAGGTTTCAAATGGCAGGCTGAGGAGTTCGCATTGGGCAGTCAATACAAGGTTTTGAAAAAGAAAGATATTGATATCTCTTCTCATTTGAATATAAATGGTACAGGTACAAATGTCTTCAAAAAAACAAAAAACACAAAACACAAAACCTACAAGCTCCTCAATTTCTGACAGATTTTCATTTTGGTTTCGAAAATCATTCTCTGCTTCAAACCAAAGTGTTATTGTCATGTTTTATTAAAGCCTAGCAGATGGCCTGATGCTCCCCTAGCAACAGATACCATAGGGGCCGAGTATTCTTCTCTTTGTCCTGCTCCAAGGCATAAATCAGTCCCTGACACAAAATGCTTTTCTACATCAGCAGCTCCATGGCTCCTTCTGAATACACAGATCAACCCCAAGGATTTAACACTTTCAAGGCTGTTTTAAAGACAGAAAATTGAACTGTGGCCCTGGATCTAGATGGTTCTGGTGTTTTCCTTCATTTTGTATAATACCATAGACTACATGGAAAGAACAAAATAGAAAAAAGACATGTTAAGAAAGAAAGAGTAAAACCTGACCTTTCACGTGAGATTTCCCCTCCTGCTGTTTTAAAACCTTAGTATTCTCTTGAAAACTTCTTTATTAGGGGGAAGAAATGAAACAAGAAAATCTTGCAGTTAAACCCTGAAAGGTCTATCTATACATGTTCAAAATGGAAACAGAGGAAACAGAACCACATGGATATCATATAATTACTATTTGGTTCTCTTATATCATTCTTCATTAAACCAGTTTGCTTTTTTTAATGTTGAAACAATCCAAGAGTAATTTATTAATTTGATAAGAAGCACTTGCTCATGAAGGGAACATTTTCTTGTGCCTAAACTCTACTACGCTGCAGCTGATAATTGCCAACACCCTACCTCTAGTGCAGACCTTTTCCCTAAGTTCTGGATGTTCCACTAGTACCTCAAATTCTACCTGTCAGAAATGGAATCTATCACTCTCTTCGCTCTTAACTTTAATTTCTTCTGAATTTCCTTGCTTATTGAAAGGCCTCACCAGGAAGCTATTTCATCTAATGAGAACTGTTAGATGAGAGTCATCCTTGATTCCTACTCCTTTAGCCTTCTCAGTCGATGGGTCATTCATTGAGTTCTACTGCTTCTATGTCCTTCATACTGTCTGTATCCAGACCTTCCCCTCCACCCACAATGATGTCCTCACCATTCTCATAGTTCATCTCCTCATTGACAGGACCTGATCCAGTCTTCTTAACCCCAGGGCTATGTCCCCTCAGATGTCAATTTCATCTGGGCATTGTCCTACAGGGCAAGGCCTTCAGCAGCTCTGGGAATTTTCAGATTTACTCTAATACCTGGACTTGCGATTGGCATCTTAAGTGGGGGGGTGGGCAGTCTTGTGGGGCTGAGCCCTTAACCTATGAGATCTGATGCTAAAACCAGGTAGAACTGAACTGACTGCAGGACACCCAGCTGGTGTCACAGAATTACTTGATGTGTAGAAAACCCACACATCTGGTATCAGAAGTGTCGAGTGTGAGCAGAAGAAAATGGAAGTGAGTTTTTCCTATAGACAGCCACCAAGCATTTTTTTCATGTAGTCCAATTTATTATTTTTGTTCTTGGACACTTCTTCCATTGCTCTTTAATATAGAGATATAGGGATGCCTTGGTGGCTCAGTCAGTTAAACGTATGCCTTCAGCTCAGGTCATGATCCCAGGGTCCTGGGATTGAGTCCCGCATCGGGCTCCTCCTTGCCCAGTGAGGAACCTGCATCTGCCTCTGCCTCTGCCTGCCATTCCCTCTGCTTGTGCATGTGCTCTCTCTCTCTTTGACAAATAAATAAATAAAATCTTAAAAAAAAAATAGAGATATAATTCACACACCACACAACTCACTCTTAAAGGGTACAATTCAGCAGTTTTTAATATATTCACAGAGATGTACAACTATCACCACATCTAATTCCAGAATATTTTCATCACTCCAGAAAGAAGCCCTGTACCCATTAGCAGTCATTCCTCATTCCCTCCTTCCCTTAATCCCTGGTAACCAGTAATCTAATTTTGTCTCTGAACTGACCCATTCTGGACATTTCATACAAATGGAATAGTATATGCCCTTTTGTTTTTGGCTTATTTCATTTAGCATAATGTTTTCAAGATTCTTCCAAGTTGTAGCATTTCTTTTTATTGCTAAACAATATTCCATTGTATGCACGCACCACATTTGTTTATGTATTATTCAGTTTATGGACATTTTGGTTTTTGCCACTCTTTGGCTGTTACAAACAATGCTGCTATGAACATTTATATACAAGTTTTGGTGTGAATATGTTTTAAATTCTTTCAAGTGTATACCTAGGAGTAGAATTATTGCGGGACATGGTAACTCTATGTTTAACTTTTTGAGGAACTGCCAAAATGTTTTCTAAAGAGATTAATCTTTTTACATTCTAGCAATTTACATTACTGGTAATATAGAGGGGTTTCAATTTCCCCACATCCTTGTCAACACTTGTTGATTATTACAGTTCTAGTTGGTGTGAAGTGGTATCTTGCTGTGAATCATACAGTATTTTAACTCTTTACCTGCCTGGCTCTTTTAGGGAGCTGTAAACTTCATCTTTGGTGTCCCTAGTGTTGACAAAACATGTTAGTTTGGAAGCAAGCTCACTTCTGCACTTCATAATACAAACACTCACCAGCATTATGCAGCACGTGGTGTGAGAGCACCCTTGTAGTCTGGCTTAAATCTGCAGCAGTCAGAACTGAGGTAAAACCTAAGGAAAGCTGTGAACTAAGGCAAGCTTCCTCTTTAGCTCGTCCACTCTCTTTTCTTTACCTAGGCTTGCAGCTTCCTTCTCCCTTCTTAAGTACTTAGTGCCAGAAGGGATTTCCCTCCATTTTGTTTCCCCACACTTAAAGAGAGTGAATCTCAAAGGTTAGTGTGCTTTTTGGCATTCGGATCCTCAAGCTCACCCCTAGCATTTCTGATTCAGCAGATCAAGAAGAGAACCTCAAAATACGCATGCTTACCAAGCATGCTGCAGGGTTCTGATGCACATGGATTGCAGCCTGTACTGTTCCAATGGAACCAGCTAGCAGATGACCCCATTTGTCAGCAACTTGCCAACTGCCCATTATTATGACGTGCACAACCATGACACCACCAAATGTCACGAGTATGTCTGGAAGCTGGTGTCTAATGGGGCAGAAACTGGGCTAGTAGGAAGGAGATCTGTAGGGAGCAGAACAGATATATCACCACCATATCACCCCACTCACTGCTCATTGCCACACCTAATTTTATTCCTTGTCTGGCTCTTATAATCCATTTACTTTTGTATTATTTAATAATGGTCTTACTAATTACAATAAAAACAAACTCAGAGATACTGACATAATAAATTGCAGAAAAATATATTAAAGCAGGAGATAGAAACACTGGGTAGTTTTTTTTGACACAAATGCATTGCCCCCAGGAAAGGATAAAGAGTCCTGTTCAAATTTTGCTTTGCTTTTTCAGAGGCTAATGTGCAACTGAGAAAATTGGATTACATTTGCCGCAGTGAAGTAAGCCCTGTAAAGGCAAAACTCAATGAGGGACCGAGTATTGACCATGCATGATAAATTTGACACCTTGTAACAGACCGTTCTTAAGAGCCAAGATTTTCCCTCCTGTGGCTTCTTCCTGTTGTCCTGAACACTTTGTAGTCCCCCCGACCTTGCCCATGTGGGGATATGTTCCAAGACTGCCAGTGGTTGCCTGAAACTGCAGATAATACCAAACCCTATATATACCATATTTTTTCCACACATACATACCTATGATGAAGTTTAATTTATTCATTAGGCATAGTAAGGTATGAATAACTATACCTGATAATAAAATAGAACAATATAGTGTAATAAAAGTTCTTGAATGTGGTCTCTCTCTCTCTCTCAAAATATCATACTGTACTCACCCTTCTTGTGATGATGTGAGAGGCTAAAATGCCTATGTGATGAGATGAAGCAAGGTGACAGATGTAGGCATTGTGACGCAGTATTAGCCTACTATTGACCTTCCGACCATATGTCAGAAGGAGGATCATCTGCTTCTGGGCTGTGGTTGTCCATGGGTAACTGAAATTGTGGAAAGTGAAACCACGGATAAGGGATATATGACTGCTGTACATATATCTTATTTTCTTTCTATGTTTATTATAAGCAAGGAGTTGTGTTATAGATAAGAGAGAAGAATTATTTAAGTACTCCCATTTCTGATATTATATAGATCACAATTATGAAAGGTCTTAAAGCTTCGAGACTCACTTTTTAATCTGTTGGAATGTGTCAGTAGGGAAAAGTTCAAAATTATAAGTAATATAATTCTGTTGCATAAAGAGGATGAAAACGAGTTTCATTTAAAATCTGGTTTCGTTTTGCTAAATTAATGAGGCTGTAGGCTCTATTAGTTGGAACATCAGATTATAAATCGGAGATTATTGGCTTCCATTATTAAGCACAGCACTGTTTTCCCATGTGATCTTGAAAAACTGAGTCTCCCTGTAAAATAGCTAAAATAGTATTTGCTTTTCCTAATATTTACAGTTTAATAACTGTGTTATGTTCACTAAGTGTATATCTTGGGAGTGTTCAGGTTATTTGGTCCTTCCTTCCTTCTCTCCCTCTTTCCACCCTTTCCTGCTACCCTTCCATGCTCCTTCCATCATGCATCAAAGATTCACTGAGTTAAGGGAGGTGCTGCAGGCACACTAAAGGCAGCCCTGTCCTTGAGGAACTCACGATCTAGTCAGAGACAAATGATGTTATTACCAACAGCATAACATGATGGTATTGTGGTAGCAACGTGAGCAAGTCCTGTGGGTACA